TCAAATGATTCTTTTTATAATAACCCTGTTATCTCTAAAGCTTTTACAATAACCAGTTTCAAAATATTAATAGAACATATCCACCTAAATGATAATTCAGCAGCTGCAGAGAGAGGCTCACCTAACTTTGACGTATTGTATAAAATAAGACCATTTATAGACAGACTAAATGAAATTTTTAAAGAACAAGCTGATCCTGAAAGTAGGTTTTCTATTGATGAATGTATGATGAAATTTGAAGGACGCTGTTCTATCAAACAGTATATGCTCAAGAAGCCAATTAAGCGTGGTTATAAAATGTGGGATGATGCTCTTACTGGGTATCTGTACCAGTTTATTATCTACACTGGAAAAACCGAAGGCAGTGTAAATGATGGCTAGGGACATAAGGTTGTTACTGAATTATGCCAAGATATACCACAACAATCTTTGGTTGTTTTTGATAATTTTTTTACAAGTTGCAAACTATTGGAAGATTTATATGCTAAACAGCTGTATGCTATAGGTACTGTCAGACCTAATTGCAAAGGTTAACCTGATTTCATGGGAAAAAAACAAACCAAAAATAAAAAACTTCGAAAGAAACTTCTATTGTTTGAGCCGTAGCCCTATGACAGCAATAAAGATGTTAGATACCAAAGAAGTCACGGTTATTACAACTGCCGATCAACCACATGAAGTAACCATGATAAAACCTACACAAAGAGATGGCACAAAGAAAGATATACTTTGCCCAAAAGTTATTGCAGATTATACACTAAACATGGGAGGTGTTGATCATTTTGATCACTTTAGGGCATCATATCCCATAAGTAGGAAGTCTAGAAAATCGTGGATGAGATTATTCTTTTTTCTTTTAGATGCGAGTGTGCTTAATGCATATATAATGTATACAATAATTCATGATAAAAAAAATGCTTTCCACAAGTATTTTAGGCTTCGTCTTGGAAGAGCTCTCATATGTGACTTTACAGTTAAGTTATCCCGACCTGTGATATTTAGAAATAAAAAAACCGGAAACTTTGGTGTTCCAGACGAAAGTCGTCTGAGGAATGTAGGACCATATTTACCAGATGTTCAACAAAATTATACAAGATGCAGATTCTGCTCAACAAAAAAAGAAGAAAAACGAACTAACATTATATGTAGATATTGCCAAGTAGCTTTATGTCCAAAAATATGTTTTAAATCATTTCACACAGCTGTGATTGAGACTTAAATTAGTTTTGTCATCCATGTAGTTTTGTACCTTTTAATTAAATAAATTGTTTCACTAATTTTACAAGGGTAATTAATTTCCCACCTACAAAAATTTTTTAAGAAACAACGGGGAAATAGGTCCCACCACTTTTTTTTATTACTCTTTCAAATTATTTTTTATTTCAACAAACGTATGTTTTATTTAAATCCTTAAGATACCAAAAGTAAACAAACAAACAAATTATTGCTCCCTATATCCTATCTCTTATTAAGGGTTAAACTAACTCTTGGTCTTGGATTTTTGGTTACTATCATGTATTTTTTTTTCTTCTTTTATTCGAAGAACAATACTACGTGTTTTATTCTCGAGCTGTGAAAACACCTCTCTCACGCCTCTTGTAGAATGCGTGACTGCATCTACAGATTGAACGAAATAAATTCGGAACATAGGAATATAATGTATTTCGGATCAATTCTGCTGTAAGTGGTTGGCCAACAAAAGATTGTCAAATAATTATATTATAAAAATCATATACTTCAGCGGGCTGCTGAATTCTGAACTCATAAAAATTGAAAGCTACACATAAATCTACGATTTTATTATGCTGTCAAACCAGTTATAGTCCAGGAAATGAAGCATTTCACCTCGCAATTTTTTCGTGCTGCGTGAATTGACTTTAAATTTAACAGAAGGTAGGTAATAGCCTAAGGATCAAAATCTATATCGAACCAAAGTGCGCCAAAGCCTAGGGGGTGGTTGCCACCCCATCTCCTGGGTGATTTTTTTTCTTACGTTTAAACTACAGGTTTCGATTAAAAAAGTGATTCTAAACAAAAAATGTGCTATACATTTTTTTATAAAATTATATTTTTCAAGTTATTCGCGATTGAAAGTAACAACTTTTAGACGAAAAAATCCACGTTTTTAATCGATTTTTCGTGAATAACTCGAAAATGGTGCATTTTATCAAAACAATTGTAGAGAACAAATTTGTAGCTTTTAAAAAGTCAAATAGAATTCATTTTTTAAAATGTTTTTGCGATATAATAGGAACCGAAATACGGCCTATCAATGTTCAGCGGTTTTCTTCAAATGACAAATTTGAAATATTCAAAGTCAAATATCGGGAAAATGATGCATTTTTGGAAGAAAACTCGCAAAACCTTTTTTAAAGAGCATAAATAGACCTATCATAAAAAAAGACTCTAGCTCAAAAACTGAGTGAGTTATGATGAAAATAAGGTCAGTACATCATTTTTTACCAAAAAATCGATGAAAACAACCCCCTAACTACCCCCATAATTAAAATAGATCTTCACTCTTCTGGAGTTCCCTTTATACATGTATTGTTAATACATTCATGTTGTATTCATGTTAATGTTCAAAAGTTGAAAAGTTGCAAAATTTTGACAAAAAATTGTTTTCACCTATAGCACTCATAACAATTAATTTTTAAGGGTTGAAAATGTATGAATTTGTATTTTAAAGTATAAAAAAATCACTATTAACTAATCCAAACCAAATTTCACTCATCTTAAGATTTGTAATATTATTTTACAATTTTTGAAAATTAGGGGTAGTTTTCACCTCTAAGAACAATCAGGGTTCATCGGCATGACATAAACTATAAAGCAGAGGGTGAGTTGAGCTTAATTCCAAATTTTTATGCAAATCGTTCCAAGGTGAAGCATTTTCTTCGCATTACTAATTTTTTACATTAATCTCTAATAAGGGTCGCTTTTTAAGGGTTGAAATATGATGGAACTTTATTCAAAAGCACGAAACTATCATTATTTAATTAATTCAAACCAAATTTTACCCATATTCAGGTTTAATATGTTAGTTTATAATTTTTGACAATTAGGGGTAGTTTTCACCCCTAAGAACAATCAGGGTTGGTCGACATGACATAAACTATAAAGCAGCGGGTGAATTGAGCTTAAATCCAAATTTTTATCCAAATCGATCCAAAGCGAAATAATTTTTTTAGGACTAGTAATTTTTTTACATTAATCTCTAACAAGGGTTGCTTTTTAAGGGTTGAAGTATGATGGAACTCTATTCAAAAGTATAAAATAATCATTATTTAACTAATTTAAACCAAATCTTACCCATATTCAGGTTTAATATGTTATTTTATATTTTTTGACAATTAGGGGTAGTTTTTACCCCTAAAACCTTTCAGTGCACTTCGGTTCGATATAGATTTTGATCCTTGGGCTATCACCTACCTTCTGTTAAAATTTCAACTGGATACATGAAGGACGAAAAAATTGCAAGTTTTTAACTTTTTTCGAGCTTCATTTCCTGAACTATTATTTCTTCCTTAGACAAACCCGTCTTACGCAAACAACATTGTTGTGAGACAGATAGTTGAACGATATTTTATACAATGTCTCTACCCAGGTATGGATTTATTTTTGTCCAAGTTTTATATTGGTTCACTATTTCAAATGCAGTTCAAACAGACATGTATTAAATTGTATGTTCCGTTTTAATTTGGTTCAATCTGTATATCATCAGCAAAGGCCAGCAACACTTTTGATCCTTCGTCAGCAAATCCTCCTGTCAGCTTAGAAGATATTTTAGTTATTGCATATTCTAAAGCAAAATTAAACAGTAACGGTGACAAGGGGTTTCCCTGTCTACGTTCTGAATTTATATCAAATGGCATCGATGTTTTGCTTCCTATCTTTACTTGCGCATATGAGTCTGTCAGGCACATTTACGTTTATTCAACTAATTTTCTTGGTATTCCCATTTCTAACATTGTTATCTACAATTTGTTTCTTTTATGGAATCATATTCTTGCTGGAAATCTACGAAAATTTGGTTCACAAAAAAAACAGTTAACTGGTATCTAATTGAAAAAAAAAATGTCCATCTTCAAATTTAAGGAAAGTATCATCAACGCATTAGTCAATGATGTTCAAAGTACTCGGCTTTCAAAAAGCAGATCGAAAACCAAAAAAATTTCATACAAACTAGTTTATTGTATTTTTGTGAAATAATTTATTCTGTTTAAAAAAACTATGCTAGCAGTCTCATTATTGATACATAATATATATATATATATATATATATATATATATATATATATTATATATATATATATATATATATATATATATATATATATATATATTTAACAATATAATTTTATATTATATATATATATATATATATGTATATATATATATATATATATATATATATATATATATATATATATATATTTGAAATTTGCGCCATAATTATTTTTTTATTATTCTTGCGACCCACCGGTGGACCGCATCGTCTGTAGGAGCTAAAGACCTGTCGACCCACGCTCGCTCCGCTCTTACGGACAAACTGTTAGCGACCTACCCGTGTACCGCTCCGGCTTGAACTTGTTAGTCATGGTTTTAATAAGGTTGCTTTTGAATTTTGTGAAACCCTAGAGTATTAATATGAACCCATTGGGAACCTCTAGCATAGCCAAAGATTATCATACAATTAACTTTTTGAACAGAAATGTTTGTATTATTTATTTAAGGCAAATTTTTTGATTAACAAAAGGTAGACTGATAAAACTTATAAAAATATAATTTTCAGTATGTAGATAAAGAAACAAAAAATTCACAACAATACGGAGGAACCAAGAAAATACCGAAGCACTCATCTTCAAAATTAAAATTAATTTAATCTATTCAGGTATGTAGTTTTTATAATATTGAGCGCATATTTATGATTTACGCAAATAATCTGTGTTCACACATATATAAGTAATAATCTGTTGTTTATTTCTTTTAAATACGCATTTAATAGTAAAAACGACACTGATTTTCAAATAAGGAAAACAATGGCGTGGTACAAATATTTTAGTGTGGAAGTACCTATATGCCTTCTAATTTTTTCCATGGAGTTGTGCGGTATGTATTTATCTATTTTAAAAGTAAAACTGTTTCGATCTTTAATAGTTCTGTTCTAATTTACGTCTAATGACGATTTCAACAAATTTACAAGATTATTGTTCATGATTAATTTATATAATGGGATGTAGATTAGTGTATTTCGGAAAATAAAATTCTTTCTAGTAAAATCTGTACTGGTATTTTCGTTAACACGAAAACAGTCATACAGAAAGAATTACAGTTAGAATTAGGTTGACGAAGGTCAGCAATACATGCAAGTTGACCTATATACTCATTCTGTTTAAGAAATCATCATTACTATTATAAAAAATTGTTTTGAATTTATTGTTATTAGATTTATAAACCTCAGATCCTTTTTAATGTTGCTAATTAAAGAATCTTACTTACTTACTTACTTACTCCGTGGTGTTACAACCCTTCGTTGGTTTTAGCCGATTAGATAACATGCCTCCACTGTTTTCTGTCTTGAGCAACCTCCATCCAATTCTCCACGCCCATAGTGCTTAGGTCTCCTGTTATATTATCTCGCCACCGGAGACGAGGGCGTCCGCGTGGTCTCCTTTCAGTTGGGACTTCCTCCCACACCAGTCTTACTGTACGTTTGTCAGAATGTCTTCTGAGGTGTCCTATCCATTGGAGTCTTCTGGACTTTATTTCTTTTATGATGTTAGCGTCTGGGTAAAGTACGTCAAGCTCTTTGTTAGTTCTTATCCTATATTGCCCTGATGCTTCATCCACCACAGGACCAATGATCTTCCTTAGGATTTTTCTTTCCCTAATACATAGTCTCTCTTATCGTCCACGTTTCGCTTACATACATCACAACGGGTCGTATGATTGTTTTATAGACATGTATCTTCGTATGTCGTGTTAGTTGTTTCGATTTTATGAGGTTTTGGAGAGCAAAAAGACATCTGTTGCCGGCCTGAATCATGTAGTTTATTTCTTGTGATCCGTTATTGTCTTCAGTTACTGTTGTTCTAATATACTTTAATTCTCTAACGAGCTCAAAGTTAAAGTCATCGATGGTTATGTTCATAACATATCATGACCCATCGATGGTTCTGTCTCTGCTTTGGTTATTGCGGCTCATATACATATATTTCATCTTGTTTTCGTTGATTTATAGCCCCATCTTCTCCGCTTCCTTTTTGAACCTCACGAAAGTCTCCTTCATCCTTAATCGTGCGTTTAAATTAAAGAATCGCATACAATAAAAAAATATTAACTTTAAAATGTCTTTGGTAGTGAATCTTATTTTTCATGTTCTGGAATTTCATCATGAAATAGTTTTTATATTTTCTGTGTTTTTTATTATTATTAGTATATGCAATATTTTTCGTTTTCTGTTTTTTTTCTAAATTGTCGAAATTACTTCTAAAATCTATCAATGAACTATCTAACATCTATCTATGATATATTAAAATTGCTGTATTTAGGGATTTGTTTTTTTTTTTGTTAAAGAGTTTTGTTTGAAACATATAAAGCTATTTTTCCAAAGCATAATAATTAACAGAAGATACTCAAATTGATTAAACTTTTATCTAAACCAGCAGCTTCGAACCGTGCTAATGGTTTCACCTTTGTTTAGGGAAAAATAACGTAAATGTTTAATTTTTTCATAATTTTCCTTTATTTCTTTAAGTATTTTACAGCATCAAAACGAGCAGACCACCTGGTGCCACAAATAGATTTAATACACAAGTGTTTGCTCTCACAAAATATTTGTAATGCATTGCACCTATGTCACCTATTATTGTTCTGATGCTATTTTCTTGTGGTATTTTAAATTAATTACTATTTACCTGGGAATAAGCCACAATTAAAGATAAAAATACGTTTATTGACGTTTCAATTTCCACTTCGGAAATTGTTCTCAAAATACAAACAGTAAATTAAACAAATTTTGTTTTTTGTTACATAGTGAAAAATTCTTCTAATAATTTAGTTTTATCTGACTCATTTATATTGACAATTCAGACATACATTATGCATTTTAAAGTAGACGATTATAAAATGATATTGTCAATATTGTTGAGTTGCGCTCCTGGGACGACTTTACTTACAAGATAGTTCATTCGATTACATGAAATCAACTTTAACTTGAGAATATCCGTCAGAAAAAAAAATCATAGCATGTAATTCGTCTTCAAAAAGACAAACACATGACATGACGACAGTAAAATTCTCCTGTTAGTGATTCGATAGTAAATTATGAGGGAAAAACCAGGAAAAAAAAATGTTCCAACGAAAATTCGTTCTTGGAGGAGAAACATTTGTTAACATCTGTTTTATTAAAAAATGATTATCCTTTATCGTTTATAAATAAGGAATTTTTAACCATCGATCGAATAGAACAGAACAACTTAGAACAAGATCCTACAGCATACACAAGGAATAATACGAGGAAAATTACAATACCGTACATAAAAGGATTATCAGAAAAACTTAAAAGGATAAGAAATAAATTCAATATTTCAACATCATTCAAAACAACAAATACGTTGAGATCTATTTTGTCCAAAACCAAATCTAACAATGAACAAGAAAGGAGAAAAAATTGCATTTATAAAATACCTTGTGAATGCGATCAGTTTTATTTAGGTGAAACATCAAGACCATTAAATATTAGAATAAGTGAACATCAATCTTATATTAAAAATAGAGAATTTGATAGATCACAAATATGTAAACACGCATGGGGTAATGAACATAGGGTTCAATGGAATAATTCAAATGTAGTCCTAAAAGAAACGGATGGTAAAAAAAGAAAAATCAAAGAAGCGGCTCTAATTATGCTAAATGAGGCCAATTGTGTCGCAAATTCCTCGGCAGAATGTAGTAGGAACTGGTTACCAATATTGAAAGAGGAAGTTATTAATAAGAAAATACCAGTATTAGTAAGTCAGTAACATATAGAGGATACATCATTTATGTTTTTTAAATAACGAAACATATAAAATCAGAATTTTGGTGTTTATTGAAGGTAAACTAAATGCACGAACAAATACTTACCATGTCGGGATAGTATTATGAGGTTTTTTTTCTGGTTTTTCCCTCATAATTTACTATGGAATCACTAACAGAAGAATTTTACTGTCATCATGTCATGTGTTTGTCTTTTTAAAGACGAATTACATGCTATGATTTTGTTCTGATGGATATTCTCAAGTTAAAGTTGATTTCATGTAATCGAATGTACTATCTTATAAGTAAAGTCGTCCCAGGAGCGCAACTCAACAATATTGGCAATATCATTTTATAGTCAATCTACTTTAAAATGCTTAATGTATGTCTGAATTGTCAATATAAATGAGTCAGATAAAATTAAATTATTAGAAGAATTTTTCACTATGTAACAAAAAACAAAATTTGTTTAATTTACTGTTTGTATTTTGAGAACGATTTCCGAAGTGGAAATTGAAACGTCAATAAACGTATTTTTATCTTTAATTGTGGCTTATTCCCAGTTAAATAGTAATTAATTATGTCACCTATGTCTAGAATTTTTGATGAATGAATTTCGCATGATATAAAATGGACAGAAAAAATATGTTGTTTTATTATATTTACCTGATATATTAAACGCATTATCATAACTCTGTCCCCGATGGTTAGTGATGTCTAAATATAAATTACTTACAAATTCTAAAATAACTCTCTCCGAGGTTAGCTGATCTATGTAAGGTGATCATGTGTTGAATCAATAATTAGAGGGTACAATTTGGCTTCCTGTATTTCAATCTACGTCAAATCACGTATTATAGATGACAAATAGTTTCTAGTACCGGTGCCACAGTTTGCATATTTTTTCATGTGTTCTCGCAAAAATGCATCGAGCTCAAATAAATATTCCAAAGAACCTATAGAATTACCATTATTTTCACTAAAAAACACTTCATTTTACCACGAAACGCTACAGAGCATAAATAAATAAATTTTATTGTTGCTACCACACTTTTAAGTCCTTCCCTCCAATATTTCGTTTTATTTATCGTTTATTTACCAGTTCAATGTCAATGCATTCAGTAATTTTATATAAATGAAAGTCAAGGTGGTCACTGGAGTCAATGTGGTCACTGGAGTTTTCATGCTCTTATGATTTTTTATTGATATTTTTCCAATCATCCGTCCTTTTTGTCACTACCTTTGTTTGCTTAAAAACTACTTTACAAACATTACACTATAAGCTGTTGGTGTCAGCATAAGTCAACCAATTTTTTTTTAAATTTTTTTCCCGATATTATCTGTTATGAAAAAAGTTGCATAGAATAGAAGATGATTCCAAAGATGCATTTATTTAGTTTGGTGGATTTTTTTATATAACACTCTCGCATGACGTCTGTTAAGTATTCTGGAAATAATATAATATCATTAACAAAACGTTTAATTTCTTAATTACTTTGACACGATTGTAAATTTTTATTTTATCCTTTTGTTTTATCTTTACAATTGCAATTGCTTGGTTTTTTCAGCTGATATTTTTGTAGAATAGTTTCGATCTGCTTTTCGTGTTTGTGGATACAGTGCATACAGTGGACGCAGTATGAAAAATTGTCCAATGCATACGATGCGTACCTATGGACGCTTAGCTTAAGTCGTCTGTTATGGAAACAATGTCATCGACATCTCGAAGATGAAGTAGTTTCTATTCATCGATGTTAATGCCCTTTGAGTCCCAATCTAATCATTAAATGCGTACTGCATGATATAATAGACCTAACATTAATATCGTTAAGTTTCACTTAATATTTTTTGCAAAATATAAATTGTTTATCCCAGAAATCTTTTATCTACAGAGTTATAGTAAGTAGTTATGATAAGTTCAACTGCTTTTTCATTTTTTGCCGCTTTTATTGCCAATGTAACCTCACTCTCTCTTATAGACAGACCTGTTATAGCAATCGGTGTATAGTGTTCTACTGTTTCATCTTCAAATAATTCGAAATTAGTTTTTCCATTATTTTCCTGTTTACTGATATCTAATATTTTGTGTTCGTTTTTACTTCTAAACTTTGGGATAGTTTCCGTTTTATTTCGGCGACCTCTTTTAATTTCGTATACAGATGAAATAATGTATCGTACTTCTTTACATATTTCTTGTATTCATTTTTTCCTTATTTCTTTTCTTTGATCCATGAGTCTCAGTATTTCTTCTGTCATCTACTGCATTTTTACTGCACTTATTTTTGTTTTTTGAATGGTCTTTAATATACCTTTAATTCTCGTTCAGTTTTTCTTAGTGTTTTCACCTTTGCTTGATGTCAACTTTTTTTGTTCTTATTCAATGATTATTTCTTGTTTTACGGTATCATTTAACGTCTTCTCTACAATAATAACTGTTTGCTTATTAGTCCTTGTAACTATTTTTAATAGCAGTATTACTTTTTGACCAGAATACTGTAATCTGTTGGTGCACTTGAATATGTTTTGACTACTAATACTAAAATGTTGTATCTTTTATCCATACATTAAGTCGTCTTCACCTTTACACATAAAAAGGTTAATAACGATAATAGACGAACATAAAATAATTCCAGAACATCAATTCGGTTTCCGAGACAAACACGGAACCATAGAACAAGCGCATAAGCTAGTCAATCAAATAAACAAGGATTTTAACGCCAAAAGATACTGTTCTACTGCTTTTCTTGACATATCTCAGGCTTTTGACAAGGTATGGCACATAGGACTACAAATAAAATTAAAAAAGCTCCTACCCTATCCTCACTTCCAGCTCTTAACCTACATAAAACCTACATAGAAAATAGACACTTCCTGGTGAAGCACGGTACCAAGCACACTTAGATATATCCTATTCACTCAGGCATCCCACAAGGTAGCCTTCTTGGCCCAATTCTATATCTTTTATACACAGCGGACATTCCAACATCTAGTACATCTACTGTTGCAACGTATGCAGATGACACTGCTATTCTGGCATCCCACATAGATTCATCAACAGCATTAAGAAATCTTTAATTAAACCTAAATAGAATTCAGCAATGGATGCAAGTATGGCGCATCAAATCTAATGGAACTAAGTCAATACATGTTACATTCACGCTACGTAGAGGACGTACCCCCTCCACCTACGTACATGCCCCCAATATATATTGATAATTTTCTAATTTTTTAATATAAGGACGCTAAATATCTTGGCATGCACTTGGACCGCCGTCTAACTAAGTATCTTAATATCTTTAACAAACGAAAACAGCTTGGACTTAAATTGAAAAATATGTATTAGATCATTGGACGCAATTCAAAACTATCTTTGAATAACAAAATATTACTCTACAAGTCCATCCTCAAACCCATATGGACTTATGGGATTCAGTTATGGGGTACTGCTAGCGTCTCCAATATAAACATCTTACAGAGATTCCAAAACAAGGTGCTGCGTGCCATAGTCAATGCGCCATACTTTGTATCCAACGAGGTGTTTTAACACGACATTCCCCTAGAATCCGCGAAAAAAGCCATACAACGTTTTAGTCCTAAATACTGTGGGCGAGTGCTAGTGCATCCTAATGCGTTTGCTCGACATCTAAATGTGCGGAAAGTCTTTGAAGTGCGAAGACTAAAACGGCAATTGCCGTCCGATTTGTCCAACTGAACAAAATAAGTGTATACAAACTAATAAAATTTTAATTTTTAGAATTGTAAAGAGGTTACTCACCGGAGTAACTCTCTACATGTCTGCATTCTTTTTACCATACCTAATGCTTAATGCCCAATGGGCAGATTGTTGTACTCAATGGAGTTATTAAAAAAAAAAAGAAACCTATACACGAATTTTAAAAAATACAATATCTTATGATTCTTAAAATCCGAGTTAGCCTTTTTTTTAAATTTACCGACTCTTTGTATAGCAACAGTAAAAAATTTAAAAAGTACTATTTAAAAACATAAAAGCTTAGCTTTTTGTTATAAATCTCAAAATTATTTCTTTAAAAATAAGCTGTCCATAATAAGCTAAAGACGAAGGTAAAATCAAAGCAATTTGTATCCTTTAGATTTTACTATTTCAAAAACTAAATTCATAACTTAAAATTTATAAAATTTGTAATATCTCCGGTTCTTATTAACGAAAATTGATGTTTTTTTTATGTAAATGTAAATGTAAATAGGTAATTTGTGAATTGTTTATTAAACCAGTAAAACAATACACCTCAGTATATTTGAACAACACCTTTTTGTAGGCTCTGTTTTTACGAATTTGCTGATGTATAGAACGTGCTACACTATACTTGGTTATCCAGAGTCAGATTGTGCCCAATTAGGAAATGATGTTAACAACGTTACAATAGATCTCGAGCCAAAAGTACAACCAACTGTTAATTATATTAATATGGTTCAAAATATACTGCATAACACATTTCCTATATTCTTTTGCATGTATGTCGGGACGTGGTCAGATAAGTTTGGAAGGAAACCTTTTCTACTACTAAGCATGATATGTAAGTATTTATTTTTAATACATTTTAGTCTCCTTGACTAAATTATATTTTACAAAAACCGAGCAACAGTTTTAGTTTTTACAGCAGTTAGGTCAATGTGGCACTTTTAAATAAAGATTATTAATACTAGGTTTACCTGAAGTAAAATTTTACTTAGGTAAACATCTTGAGGTACGCAGTTACATTTATTATATGTTTAGATATTAAAGACTTGATAGCAATAATAAAAGATGTAAAATGTAATTTTATAGATACGGGTAAAAAATAAATGTAAATAACGGTCATGAGTACTGAAAATCATCTTTATGTCTTTATATACACACAGAGATCTTCTTGTTTTAATAGAGTTATTTTGACTACACATTTGTTCTACAAATTTCATTAATTTCTCTGTGCTTTACAGCAATCCGAAATTGACCGGGTTCTTGATTAATAATAAAAATACGATAAAAACAAACCAGTAGGCTTGGTATTTCATTATATGTTTTTTTATTCATATAATTTATTATTTCTTAACATTAATATGGTATTATTAGTCTATTATCGACCTTTTTTCCGAGCACCTATGACGAAAAGTTTAGAGACGCGTTTTTTGATAATATTGAGTGTAATTATAATTATATATTTAAGAAATCTATTCTAGCTAATATTTTTTCTTTTTCTTTGATGGTCCAGGCTGCTGTTTTGAATCCAATTCAGTATCGAAAGCAAAATGTTCGCGAATGTAAGAAAGTTAGAAATGGCATCATTATGGATAATTCATCATCCAATTCTTCAAATTTTTCAATTAATAATATTTTCATGATGTTACTGCCGGTTTCTCCAAAACAATTGAGGCACACAGCAGAGCATTTGAGGCTTACTTATCGACAATCGCACATACTTTCGCAGTTTTCCTTGCATCTGCATAAAGTTAATTTATATATAATAACGGATTGATTAGGGCTGTCGCCGCTTCTCCGCCCCCAATTTCCATCCTTTTCTATCATATGCAGTTGCCTCTTCTCGCCACTGCTTCATTAATATCGTTGCGCCAACTTCTAGGCTATCTGTACTATGGTTTTCTTTTAACATGTCCCAACCAGATTAATTGCTTTCTTTCTATGTCATCATTAATATTTCGATTCATTTTTATTTCGTTTCTTATTTGTTCGTTTCTTATTTGTTCGTTTCTAATTCTCTCCAGTTTTTCGATCTACCGCAGCTTCGCCTCAGATAATCCATTTCTGACGTCATAAGTTTGTTTCTATTAGCTTTGGTGACGTCCCATACTTCCGAAACATAAAGTGTAATACTTTGGACTATACTACCGTAAATGTGTTTTTTGGTTTCTCGTCGAATTGTTTTTTGCCAGAGAAGAGAGTTTAAGGTACGGGTCGCTGCTCTGCACTTGTTTATTCTTTCTCTAATTCCATCTGCGCTATTTCCCTTCTTGTTGAAATTGACCCCCAAATATTTGCAGGATTGTACGCCTTTGATTTTGTTGTCTTCCAAGACTAGGTCACATATTTCATCTGTTCCCACTGAGAGGTAATCACATTTGGTCATATTCATGTTTGGACCAGCCACCTCATATTCTTCTTGCAATTTTCTTACCATATAGCTAAGATCGTAGCTGTCTTCGGCAATTACTATCTGATCATCCGCAAAGAAAAGTGTATATAGTGTGTTTTCTTCCACCGTTATTCTCATGTTTCTACATTTTTTACCAATTTTACTAAGGATCTATCCAAATAGATTTTAAATAAGGTGAGTGACAGACAGCAGCCTTGTCTTAGCCCCTTTGTTGTTTGAAAAGGAGAGGTGATTTCTTGTCCATTTTAATTCTTGCAAAGTTTTATTCGTAGTATTTTTGAGTGGCTTTAATAAGAATTCGGTTTATTTTCAAGTTACCCATTTCTATCAATAGTTGAAAGATCGGTACACTGTTATATGCTTTTTCCAAATCTATTAAAGCTATATAGCTTTCTTTATTTCTCTGGACTCGTTTTTCCATTGCAATTTTTAATGTGAAAATATTATCCACAGTGGAGCGTCCTAAATCCCGCTTGTTCTTCGGGTTGTTTGTCTTTAATATCATTTTCTATCAGGTTTCGTAGTACTTTTGATTATAGTCGGCCTATAGTAGCAATCACTGCGATCCCCCTATAGTTTTTAGGATCAGTCTTTGTGCCTTTGTGCCTTTGAGCCTAAAGTTAATTTAAGAAGTTCAAAGGTAGCTGGAATTTTGAAGATTTTAATTGGTATTTAACTTTTTCCATGCTTTTTCCTGTCCCAGTTTTTAGAATTGCAGTATTTCCTGGGATAAATCCTAAACGAGCTGCATCTGTATCTCATGTTGTTAAAAAATAATCTATATTTTCTCCTTATAAATAGACGAAAAACGTTTGCCAACGATAGTGAGCAAAGATGGCTCGGCTTTCTCACTGAAAAATAATGCTGATCTGCTAGCTAACTCAGGATGTATGTATTTTAATGAACTTAAGTATACCGACCTTGTAAGCTACTAATGTTATATCGCCTTCTGAAAAAGTATGGAGAAACAGCAAATTCTCTGCAATGACGTCACTATATATAAAACTTAAAGGACAGTATATTTATTGCGACTTACACCCTTTTGAGGATTTAAGAAAATTGGACACTTTGGACACACAACATTGGACTGCTCCCTTTCTAATGCCGTGAGCAAGACAAGAACGTCAATGTCCTCTGCTGCAACAGTCACAGAATCTCATAAGCTTGAAATTTAGCAAGCGAAGAACATATTGATGATGATTGTATCTGCATTAGATTCAGCCTGGTCGGTACTAAAACCCACTTCTGATAAAGTACTTTTGAGAAGATCTATGAAGTTTGTTTTGTGCTTTTCAGATATAAAAAATTTATCTTGGAATAATATTAATACGGTGTTCTTATTAAGTTTTATCTCTGTCGATTGGAGTCTCAGAGCGCACGAGTTGGGTAAGTTTTGTGGGGGCGAAATGGGTCTTTAATAAATTAATTCTATTTTTGGGTTAAAATAAACTCTAAGTGAGTGTTATGAAACTAAAATTTACACTTAAAAGTGAACTTTTATTTATTATTTATTTCAAACTGACTTTAAAATCGGGCGCAAAAATAATGCATAATTTAGGTTACGTTACTTATGCTTTTTTATGATATAAATCCACTTTTTTCTTTGTAGTAATTTGTGCTTCGAAGTTGGAAACGAATAAAACTTAAATTGACAATTTTTTGTTGTATTTTTACAATTTACAACACAGCATTTCCTAAATCACATTCTCTTAAGTGACAGGAGGTGTAAATAAACAAACGAATATGAAATATGACAATTGACAATATGAATTTATGAAATCTATTAAATTTTTAGTAAAAAATGCAAGATTTCTCCGCTACTCGCGCACGATCGTTTCTCGTATCACATCCAAGTACTTGCACGTCGCCAATTGCAAAATCCTCAATAATATTATTATGACATCATTTTTTTATAAAATGCGTAGAAAAAAGTTAAGGGTGAAAGGAAAATTTGTTCAAAAATGTTATTTTGTGAAGAATTTTTTAATTTCCATTTTACCATAAAAAATATTAGGAATAAATTTGTAGACAATTTTACTTTCTACAAATATAGTTTCATAAAATTTTCTTTAGAAATCTCGTAGTTTACGAGATACAGCGCGGAAACTATTTGCACCCTTTATTCCAAGATGGTGAGTATTCAAGAACTCGGCTTACTTAGGAGCACTGTAAAATCGAGAGAAATTAATAAAATTATATAAATTTGCAGTAAAAATTATTCTATGGAAAACCCTATATGATTGCTTTAATGACATTTAATTGTAAAATTACCAGAAAAAAAGTTATAGGGCCCAAAAGAAAATTTGTTCAAAAATTGTTTATTTGTTATTTTTGCTTATAACTTTTTTCCGTTCAACAAATAAAAGGAATACATATAAAGTTATAGTACTCATAAGTAATTTTAATATAGTATATGGTATATAATATATAATAAATTTTTATACTATAATTAGTATAGTAAATGGTATAGTAATAAATACTTGTTGCATCTCGTGGTTTACGAGATACAACCCGGAAACCCTTTCACCCTTTTTCCAAGATGACGGCCAGTAGTTACCCTTCTAATACATCAAAAAAATAAATAAAATTGCGTCCCCTAAGAAATGCACGCTAAGGCAAAAAACTGTCTGGACATACTTCATTGTTGTCGACATTTTTGTAAGATAGAAACAACATAAACTTTTTTTTTTAACTTACATTAAAAGAACAAATCCTTATGGAAAGCAGATTTAGTAAAGTCATTTTCAAATTTCACTTTAAATTTTAACTTTAAAAGTTAGCAAAAAATAGTCATTTTCAACAATTAATACTGTTACGCTAGGCAAGTTTTTGTCCAATATTAATTTTTTGTTTATTAAAATTCGGGTATGTTGAAAACTTCTATTATGTACACAAGTTTAGAGTTAATTTAAATTATTTATTTTAAAAGAACTATAGTATATAAAATAAACACGCAAATATTATAAGTATGTGCATATATGCTACAATATATTAAATTATAGCAGCAAATATATTTTTTAAATGCATGCTGAAAATTTTATGCGTTTAGCATACACTCCTTATAATTTTTTTTCTTTTTTCAATTAAACAAATCTGCAACAGTAAATTTATTTGAGATTTTAGTAGTTTTAGGTAGGAATTTTTGTGTTGTAGGTTTTCGACTATGAATATGTCAAAATATTCCCGAGCTCAATGAATGGACTATACTCTTAGTATTTGCAAAACAGATTAGAGATATGGGCAGGTAATGCATAATGTATAATATGATAACGCAACTATGACACTACAAATAGACTAAAATTTAAATCATATTTCCATTAAGAAAGGAGTTAGACATCATATAACATATGACATCAACGTTAGTAACAACAAGCTAGACCGCTTCAGATTCGCTGGCAATGTCGTGTTTATAGTAAGCACATTAAAAGAACTACAAACTATGGAGAAGGAGCTCACAGATAGCCCTTAACACTGTGGCCCAAAAATAAATAACTGTATACTAGACGTATCACTGTAAATGGTAATGAGATGAAACAAATTCAAAAACTTAACAAAGAGAAACAAAATGCAGAAATAATTAGAACAATATTGGTATGTGCAGGATTTGGACAACTCAATTGGATACAGAAGTAGCGCAAAACACCTTGATAATTAAGAAAAGTATTCAACCAGTGTATCCATCCCTTCATGACATATAGATGTCAAACCCTGACTTTAACTGAGGTAAATATGAATAAACTAGACACAACGAAAAGCGCAATGGAAAGCGCAGTTTTAATTAAACGCCTGTCAGATAAAAAAAGGAATGACTGGGTAAGATTAAAAAAAAAGGGGCGAGAATATCACGACCTTAACGGTTAAACTTAAATTGAACTTCGCAGGCCACACTGCTAGACAAAAACGTTGGAACGCCACGATACAAATTTGAGACTTTACAAAGATAGACGTCCAAGAGAAAGATCATAGATGAGGTGGGTTAATGACGAAAAAAATAGTCAAAACAAACTGAAAATATGTTGTTTAGAATAGGTTGGGGGAGGGGTATGTTGAGAAATGGAGGATAGAAGGCTAAGAGGAAGAAGAGAAAGAATAACTTTACCAGATCTACTCTTTAGATATACAAGTTATTACCTTTGTCACACCCTACGGTTGCTTTCTTTAAACCTCTAAACTTTAAAGTTTAATTTATAAGTAATGCTTTAAAAACACTTTAATATGTATATTATTAATGCACTATTGACTTTCTTGACCTTTTTGCTGACAGCTAGAAAATAGTAAAAATAAAGATATATTATCAGGTCTTTAGATGATAAGAAAAAATTTTTTTTTAAGTATAATTTTGGTTTTCTCGATTACTTGTGACTTTAAAATAATCTAAATTTGACTAAAATTTTACTCCGACTATTATCGATATCGAAGGTCGTCAACTATGGTGCATACATATCTCTAAGTTGATTTATAAACGTTATTACAGATTAAACATTAAAATTCTTAAGAGTGCCTTTTTCGTTTTAAGGTCGCTTTGAAGCAATCGACCAATGTATAAAGATATATAGTTAACTGCGACCTTTAATGGGATTATGATATATACTATTTTTATTTTGTTTTTAGGTGGAACTATTTCCTCTATAAATAATTTCCTGATTGCACATTTTACATACGCATCTTCTTGGTGGTTTGTGGCTGCTGGTATTCCATCAATGGTAATGGGAGGCATGTCAACTGGGGCTATTGTTACTTCTGCTTATTTAATAGACGTGTCGACAAAAAAAGACCGAGTAGTAAGGTAAGACTGCACTATTAACCCTGCATCATTAAGGATACTTAACAGAAGTTAACCGATGTGGTCAGATATATTTTACCCATGTACATTATTGTATACTGGATCAAGCTTATTCCATACTAGTTTTCCTCATTCTTCTTCTTCAAGTTCCACTCCTATCGGAGATTGGAAATCATTCTGGCAATTATAATTTTATTGGTTACTCGCCTGAATAGTTCAATTGAACTGCATCCAAACCACTCACGGAGATTGCGTAGCCACGAGATTTTACGTCTTCCTACGCTTCTTCTACCTTTGATTTTACCCTGCATTATGTTTGTTGTTCGAGAACTTGTTCGTTTGTTTTGCGATCCATCCATGATATTTTCAAAATGCGTCGGTAACACCACATTTCGAATGCTTCTAGGTTTTTAATGTTGGATTGTTTAAGTGTCCAAGCTTCAACTCCATACAAGAGGGTAGAGAAAATATAACATCGAAGCATTCTTATCCGGAGCGATATATTGATATCGCGATTACAAAAAAGTTTTCTCATTCTATTAAAAGTTGACCGCGCAATTTCAATGCGGCATCTTATTTCTTTTGTCTGATCAGTATGTTCTGTGATCCATGCTCCAAGGTATTTGTACGAAGATATTTGTTCAATTTCTGTATTATCTAGTACTAGCTTAACTTTGATGTTTTGTGCTTTTGTAAATACCATGAACTTGGTTTTCTTCAAATTGATTTTTAGTCCATAATCGTTGCAATATATTTAGTTGTTCAGCAAGGTGTTGCAGTTCTTCTAGTGTTCCTTCCAAAAGGACGGTGTCGTCAGCATATCTTATGTTATTAAGTGGCTCACCGTTTATTATAAGGCCCTCACTGATCTCGGCAAGCGCTAATTCTGAGATGGCTTCACTGTATAAATTGAATAACAAGGGTGATAAAATACACCCTTGGCGGACCTCACGGCGAATCTGGATATCCTTGGTCAGTTCGTTTTCAACTTTCACTTTTGCTGTTTGATTCCAATAGAGGTTACAGATGATTCTAATGTCTCTACTGTCTATGTTTTTATTTAATAAAATTTCTTTAAGTCGATTATGCTGCACTCTGTCAAATGCCTTCTCAAAATCAATGAAACAGGCATATACTTCCTGATTAATATCTAATCATCTCTGCGAAAGAACACTTACTGCAAACAGTGCATCTCGTGTTCCCAGTCCTTTCCTAAATCCCATTTGTGTATTACTTATGCCTTCATCTAATTTCTTATGTATTCTATTGTGAATTACTTTTAAAAACAATTTCAAGACATGACTCATTAGGGCTATGGTGCGATGTTCATTGCACTCCTTTGCATTGGCTTTTTTGGGAAGCAGTATGAATGTTGATTGGAGCCATTCTTTAGGTATTATACCTGTTCTATATATGGTATTGAATAGATCCAAAAGAAGATCAATAGATTCAGTATTCACAATTTTAAGTAATTCGATAGGAACTTCATCAGGCCCGGGAGATTTACCATCTTTAGCTTGTTTCATTGCATATTCAATTTCTTCTGGTATAATGTCAGGCCCAGTATCATCCTTAAATTCTTTTGGTGCTTCTGTTCTCTCTTTGTCTTCAAATAGTTGTGCTATATATTGTGTCCATCTCTGCATTTTTTGGTTTATATCTGTTATAAGTGCACCCCTTTCATCTCTTAGTTGCCTAGTTTGAAGTGTTTTTCTCATTCCTGTTAATTCTCTAATTCTTTTATGCATGTTAAAAAAGTCATATTTTTTCTCAATTTCTTCTAGTTCTTGGCACTGCTCATGTAACATTCTCTCCTTAGCTTCTTTTATTCTCTTTTTTATTAATCGATCAGTTTCATTATATTTAATTGCGATATTTTCCTCATTAAGGCGAGTTTATACAGGCATGAGTTTTTTGGCGCCAGTAGCCACATTAGTCCTTTTGGCATGCCAGTTTTATTTTTAGGTTTACACAGTGGAATATTCTTTTTAGTTCCGTCTTGCCGTGGTTGTTTACACAATTGTAATATGTCAATCGAGAAAATAAAATTTGGAGTCCTAATTTGGCGTGTGTTATTTTAATTCTAACAATATTGTTAAAGTGTTTATTAACCGTGTGAAAAAGAAATTATGATAGAAGATGTAAAAGTTGGATAAGAATCTGGATAAAAAATTTCGGATTTTTATCCAGTTACGATCATAGTGTTTTCTCTCCTTTTCAATCAACCCAGAATCTTGATTTCATGTATTAAAACCACGTCCAAATACAAAAAACTATTCGATAATTCTAAGTGACGATTTACACCTTTGAAGGTAATTGCTAAATATTAAAGCCACCTGTTTCTTTGAATTCATCATAGATGTCTAAATTATACGTCCATAGTTGTCTCTTATAATAAACTACAACTGCACTTAACTGATGGGTAGGAGGCGATTTTTAAAGATCAAAAACTATAACTGATATTTTTTCTGTGATTCTTTTGCTTTAATTATATTTTGCTTTGTGTTTTCTTACAGCGCTTCTGCTTTTCCTTAGTGTAGTTCTAATTTAACTTTTGCATCCTGTTCACGCTCTTCTGAAGTAAAGGTGATTTTATTTCATTATTAAGACTTCACATTACATACAAATTAAACTTAATGTTAAACATTTTATAGAAACATAAACAAACGAGAAGGGTTTTCTTAAGTTATCTGTGTATTTTTTTTCATACTCCCGATACACGATCAACATGTTTAATGTTTCAATATTGGTTTTATTATGGGGTTGATGTTTGCCCTTTGCATCTTAAAGAGGTGTCCCATATTCTTGTTTCCGTACTAAAACTAATGAACTTTTTTCATCTGTAATAGAAACTACATCTTTAAAACTTCTTACATGCCACTTGGTTATAACCATTTTCACCCGGAAAAGAATATACACGAGTTTTAAACCTACGTGAATTTTGATTTTTGGTATATCTTGCTATCCTTTTGGTTTCTTCTTTTACTTGCCCATGAATAAAAGCAGTTTTCATTGACCAGTTAAGTAAATAGTCATTTTTAAATATGCTTTGCTTTCGTTTATTAGAAATTTTCATATGACACTTCATTTTGTACGAACATGGTCCAACTACAAGTTCTTTAACTACTTTTTGTGTGTTTTTTCGTAACATATTCTTTTCCTTTATCCCTGGTTATCTTCCTTTTATACAATGCATGATTTTTAAGTTCTCTTACGCTCTTTCTGAAGCTTTGGTGCAATTTGCTTTCTAATTTACTTTGTTTTTAAATTTTTTTTGCACGAATTACCATTATTATCGTCTGGAACAACAAAAAATATCTTACAAATAAGTTTTCAGCAAAATATATTGGGCCACATTTGTTTATAAATGGTTATATTAAGGAATATCTTGCTTGTTTTATATTTAAATATTATTAATATGATAACTGACTTACCTGAAGGCGTTACATTTGAAGAGCCTGGAATATAATCGCTATCTAAATCAGTGAAATCGCATTCAAAAGGCGTCACCTCTTCATGTTTACAACCCCACATTTTTGTTGGTTAAGTAGTTTTGCCGCAAACTTCCCATGGCATTTTTTAGTGTAAAAACCAGTTGTTAGATGAAAACACCATATCAACAAAACTAAAGTTGATCCTGAACACGATTTTCACAGAGATTTTCACGAAGTTCTTCTAAGTTTGTTCATATAATTAATCTATTTACTATTTATAATAAATCTTATTTGATTGGTTTTTAGTATTTCGTTTTTGAGCTCTTATTTCTTTCAAATCCTAGTCATGATTTTACATGTTAGGCTAGGACTTTGAGATTCTTGTAATGAGAAAGCTGGAAAGGGAAATATTAGGGAAAGGTGGCCTATACGACCGACAGTAAGAGTCCAGAAAAGGAAAATCTGCAGTAGACGGTATAAGCTGGATCCAGAGGGAGATATCCATATGCAGAAACATTGGGATGGTGTCTTTTTTCCTCGATATAAAAAATAATTTTAATAGTGCTAGCTGGAAAATTATCGTCAAACTACTAGGTAATTTGGAATATCTCCCTATCTGCGGAACTTGGTCAGAAAATACATTGCAAGGGGTAACTCTATAAGAACTACCGTGGGAGTGCCGCAGGGTTTCCTTCTGGGGCTATTGCTTTAAAATATTCTGTACAATGAGGTTTTGGTGACCAAGCTGGGCATTAATTTACAGCCAATAGCATATGTGGATGATCTAGTAGTGTTGGCAAAGCCCAATAAAAACTGGTCAATTATGCAGATAGGTAATTAAGTCTTCAGCAAAGTAAAGACATGGATGGAAAGCAGGGATGCCCTGTCCTGAAGGAAGAAAGGATCCTACTTGCTGAAAACGTAAAGTATATGGGATTAGTCTTGATACAAGGAAAATTTTTGACAAGAACGTAAAATATGTCGTCCGTTAGGCAAAAGAGAAAACTTTAGTGCTGACAACGATTATGCCCAACGAGAGAGGAACAGAGACCACCAAAGGAGAATTATAATCAAAGTAGTCCACTTTACTGTGCTCTACGCTGCACTGATACGCCAACAAGTGCTTAACATCCAGAAATATAGGAGAATGCTAAAAAAACTCAAAGAGAAGCACTACTGAGGTTAGCACGTGCATACGGTGCAACAACATCAACGGCGGCTATTCAACTGATCACGGATATGTTACCTAGCCAGTTGATAGTAAAGAAATGGTGGAAACCTATGGAACGGATGACCAGGAAAAAATAATAGCTACGACTAGCAGCATAACGGAGTGGCTGAAAGAACGGAAATATGAGCACAGGTTAGCTGGGATAAGGGTATTAATTCCAAATATCTTAGACTGGATAAAGTAACATCTTATTATTTTTTGTCCAATTTTTAACAGGCCACAGCTTCTTCAGGGCACCTAGAAAGAATAAAAAAAATTGCAAATGGAAATTACGCAGACTCTGGAGTGACTGACACGGTCGAGCGCTGTGTATTCGAGTACAGAAGGTTTGATGAAGACAAAAACGAAATACACTAGAATGTAGATATGGTAAATGCAAATACATTAATGCAGATAGTAATGAAGGGAAATAATGAATACAAGGAAATACTGGAGGCAGTAACTAAGTAATTTTTAGAAAGAAGAAAATATCAAATAGAAATCTTTAGCAAAGGTAGGAGAGAGGTAGTGAAAAACAGTAACAGAGATAGATAAGATTGGCTATTTATGTGATGCAGCAGTCTGGAGAGGACCTACTGCATGAGTAGTCCGTATGGGGTAGACTTTAGTTGGTAGATAGGGAGGTATTGGTGTATCTGTGAGCACAACTCCTCTGGAAGTACTGAGTGCAGATGGGCTCTTCTACCCTGAATTCAACACACGCCAGGTCTACTGTTATTTTTTTATTTTATCATATTTTCTTAAGTAACATTTTTTTTTAAACTAAGACTAGGCTTAAATTTGATATCATTTTTTCTGATTAAAAGTATCTATATCAGTAACTACTTCATCATTTAATATTGCATATTGTATTAATTTCGTAGTTGTTACTGCTCTTTCTTTTTCTAAATGATTCTGTATATCCTCCAATAAATGTAAAGTATTTTCTGATTTTTTGTTATGCCATTTTATTTATTTCATCAACCTCTGATTATGGTGTTATTGACAAAATATGTACAAAACTAGATAAACCTATATACAATTTAATTTTTTCCATTTGTCTTAATTTCATTTCCACTTTTTTTTATTTTCAACCATTGTTATTTCCAACTTACCTCAAGGCATACAGTGTCTTTGTGCCCTAACGTTAACAATAATCAATGTTGTTTTAATATTGTAATATGTAACAAGAAAGTTATACCTAACTCTACTTATTAAAAATCTTTTATATTTTCAGATTAGCTGCTTTTGAATTTATTATGATGTCATCAGGTTTTATTTCAAAAATGATATCATCGCGTGTATTATACGCTACAAGTTATGAAATAATGTATCTGATTTCGATCGGACTACAAATACCTAGTATTCTTTACACAATATTCTTTATTCCGGAATCAAGAAAGGACGCCAAGAAGATTAAGACGGTAGGATATAAACTATTTTATTTTTTTTTTGTATTATAAAAAATAGGTCTGATTTTTTCTTTCGGCCCTTTCTACTTTTTCTTTTCTAAATAAATATCTAGAGTGAATAGAGCTAGAAGTGCAGATAAACGACGTAGATGCAAGGTGGAGAACATCAAGACTTGGGTAAGAAATATAAGAGTACAGTGAAACAATCATATAAGCTGAATGACAACAAATAAAGTAAATCATGAATGTGTTGCTTGTGTGAGTCCATTTCAAATAGGTAAAGAAATAATAAATAAGACTTACAATCAATTTAATTTAACTATCAGACGACCGGTTTCGCTTTCTACAATATCCAAAGCATCCTCAGGTCTCGATACAAAGTTAAACAAATGATGCCGGTACTCTATTAATTGATGGATGGTAGAACATGGTTGAAACTACTATATATTGTTGAATGAAGAACTCAATTCTGTTATTGCAGTTGTTTGACAGTAAACGGGAAGTTCTTGAGGAGATAGATTTGATCCAATGAAGAAGAGATATGTGTGTGATTGTTTGTTAAATGAAAGTGATGTAATATACAATTGTATTATTAAAAGTTATTTATACTTATTCGAGAGATATATTTATGAAATATGTGTTATTTATTGAGTAATTGTTTTATGAAGGTGACAGTTTTATGACAATGAATAAGTTTAGATGTACAAATTATGTGGGTGTGCAATTATTTTTCAACTTGTAGTTATCAAATTACTTTGATAAAGTTCTATTGGCAAATAGTGAATTATTGAAAAGTCAAGTAAATAAAATATTAGAATTAAAACAATTAAGGACAATTTTTTTTTTATTGGGTTAATGCCTCGACAACTATGATCATTGGCGTGGTACAGTCAGGTACCTAGTGTAGTGTGTGTGTGTGTGTGTAGAGTAATTGTCTTGATACTTAGCAAAGTCGACGTCATTATCTTTGCTAAGAGACGCTAATTGTATCCGAATGTCTGCGGTCCCTCTGGTGAGTACCGATCGCACAAGCATAGAAATTATTTTTAATAAACGAGAATTTCCACCCAGATGAGATTCGAAGTCACGACCTTTAGATTTAAAGATAGGCGCTCTTACCACTGAGCCACAGAGGGGGTTAAGGACAATTTAAAACACACTAAAACAGAAAACACTTAGAAGGGACGAACTAGACATTAAATTTAAAAGGGGGAAGGACTTTAATGCACTACTTCTCAGTCTTGGGCGCAATGTAAAAACTGACCTAATACTGAACTAATGAACTACTACTGAACAAGTTTTGAACCAATTCAAAGACACACCGGCATCATTTGTTTAACTTTGTATCGAGACCTGAGGATGCTTTGCATATTGTAGAAAGCGAAACCGGTCGTCTGATAGTTAAATTAAATTGATTGTGAGTAAGTCTTATTTATTATTTCTTCGCCTATTTAAAATAAAGTAAAATACACAAGGAAAATAATTCCTGCAGCTGGCTGTATACCACGTATCAGAAAAAAGAGGTTAGATATTTGTAAATGAGTATATTTAAAAAACCCTTAAAAGGGCTACATCAAATTAACACGAACGTTTTCGGAATAATAATTTCGTCATCCTATTTAAAAATACAGGTTAACATGCCTGATCCACCAAAATATTAGGGTAAAAACCCTTTAAAATACATAGGTTTACAAAAGATTGTACATATTGTACATATGATTGTACATAAGTGAGTTCCAGCGTCTACTCTCCGGACGAATTGCTCTTTTTTGCAACTTAAAAATAGTATAAAATTGGTTCGCTGTACTAGAACCCCAAAATGGAAACCCATATTGAAGATCGGACTCGAACAATGAGAAATATGCCATTTTAACAGAAGATAAATTTAGTTCCTTCGAAACAGATCTTATTGCAAAGCAAGCTAAGGCTAGTTTCTACCTTAAGGAGTCAGTATGCAAGGACCATTTAAGATCACTGTCGATACCTAGATATTTTACAGCGGCATCATCAGCAAATAGATAATTTTTCTTTTAAATTTTTAAGTAAATGATGTCATTAATGAAAAGTAAAAAAAGAATGGGACTTAATACTGAACTAATGAACTACTACTGAACAAGTTTTGAACCAATTCAAAGACACACCCCGAATTCCATAGAAAATTAATTTTTTTAATAGAATGTCGTGATTTACGCGGTCAAAGGCTTTGGAATAGTCGCAGAAAACGGTGGCGGAGGAGAGGTTACTATTTAGTGATAGATGTACCTCATATAACACAGAAAACATGGCGTCACTAGTACATTTATTAGACAAAAGGCCGAACTGATTTGGGGATAAAATATTATGTTTAAGGAGAAAGGGCATAAGTCGAACTTTTATAAGCCTTTCAATAATTTTTGATAGTGCTGGTAACAAGGCAATAGGTATATAGTTGCAGGCATCAGATTTTTCTCCACCTTTATGAAGAGGAATAACGATGGCAGTCTTTAGGCAGTTAGGGAATGTACCTTTTTCAAGGGAATCATTTACTAGCGAGACCATGACCTCCAAAACATTATGCGGAAGATTTAAGAAAATTTTAATAGATAATTTGACACATATGTTGATCTAGTATAATTTTTGGAAATATTATGATGCAATTTGCAATATTAATATATATTATATTTTAAATAATAAATTATTATTTTGTAGATATTTAACTCAAAGGACATCTGTGCGAACTTAAACTTCAAAGCTGTTTTACAAGCGGCCTTTAGACCAAGAGAAAACAAAATAAATAAATACTTGTTTATCGTTATAATCATTCAATTAATATGGTGTTTTGGTATGGGTGACATGCAAGTTTTTTCCTTATATTTAAGAAATAAATTACACTGGACCGTAAGCAAAATGAATTTTGTAAGCAGCATTACCTCTGTTGGGCATATGATTTTAGCATCCTTGGGAACTTATATTTTATATAAAGTTTTAAAAATAAAGGAACTGCGGCTGGCTTTGTTAGGTGTTACATCGATAACCATTGTAACTATTCTTCGAGCTTTAGCAACAAGCGATATATATATTTATATAGGTAAGTATTTTAATAATTAGAATTTATTTATTTGTCACTGGCAGTATGTGAAACCTCATCATAAATGCAAACAATGATTTTAAAATTAAATCAAATATAATATTATTAATCTCTATTAAAACACATGTTATTGTTTTTAAAAGAGTAAATGTCCAATTAAAAATACCCGCCTAAGATCATACAATCGACCAATAACCAAAATTAGTGTAGGTTAGCGTCAAAATACTAGAACATCAAAACATTTCACATTCACGTATTTGGTAAGTACCAAGTATCAAGTATTTAGTATTTACCTTAAATATTGAAATTAATGTAAGTAACTACACTACACTACACTAGTAACGTAGGTACATTATCTTTATAACAAAGTGCAGTAGCAAATAATTCTTTGTCTAATTTCATCCTTTTCTCCACACTCATATACACATACACCATACACACACATACACACACCTACACATACATACAATATTATCACTTATCTTATATTCCAATGAGTTTTGTCACTATCAGACGGGTTCAGTCGCATAATTTTAAACGCCAGCAATACTTGCAGAAACTTTTCGGCAGGAACATTGTTAAACAATTTTACTTAGTGGTATTGTTAAACCTAAATTATCGTTACATTCTTCATTTCTTCTAAATCCTAACTGCTTTGTATTCAATATAGTACATTTTTTTCAATTATTTGTTCAATTCTACCCACACCCACACATTTTACCCACACATGACTCTAGGGCAATATTTCTATAGTTGTTTTATAGTTGCACGTCAATTACGTATTACAATTAGCCAGATACTTGTAGTTCTAGAAGAAGAAGAGGACAATCAGACGGATGTTCTTATTTTATAAAAAGCAAAATTTGCAGTTTATGTCCGAGCAGAAAGAGCAGGATGACAAAATATCTGTATTTGCGTTGGAAAAAGCCTGTTTGTTTGGGATGTACAAAACCGTTAGGTAAAAATTGCATATAAAATTGGTAAATTATGACATGCTTGAAACAAACATTTTTTTTATCGATTTTTATTTTACCTAGTTTTTGTTTGAACATTTATCCTAGCAATATACTCTTTTTTTCATCTAGCTTATTATAGGGATTTTAGTTTTATTTTTAAACATTGCCTGCCTTACTTACTTTATCGCGTCCGGACATGTCATTCATAAAATTTCGGCCCACTATCGGGCTACGTCGGTTCCATCTTTGTTGGCGAGCCACAAATCTTCAAGGGTACATTGATGAGGACAGTTTCTGTCCTCATCAAGTGGAAAATACTCAGGCGGTTCATCCTGAACTGTTCCAAGGAAGCTTTTCCTAGATTTTAGTCGCTTTCGTGGTGTTCGAGCTTTGTATAGGGCATGCCGATCGTCCGCGATCTGTTTAATTTTCTCTATGTGTTCTGCAGCGCCTCTGCGTGTTGAGGGTTCTGCAAAACCCGCTGCTCTATATAGATTTGAAAGTATCGTTGGTTTCATGCACCCCGTTACTATCCTGCATGTCTCATTTAGCGCAGTATCTAGGTACTTAGCTGAACTCTCTTTTCATAGTGCCACAGAGCCAATAACTTAAGCTAAAAATTTATCTGATCTGTAGTGGTCGATTTTGGAATTACATACTACATTCGCTTCTTAAAAAATCTTGCGTTATTGTACAGATCTCTAATAGTTCTATTAAATGCTTCCAGCTATGGAATTAATGCACAATGACGTTTCTGTGCCATTGTTAATAAATTGCAGATAATATTTTAAATTGCTACCAAACCGTTAGCCATTGCTGAGTGTTGTATGTCGGTTCATTACTTGTCTAAAGGATCAAATATAATTTTAACACTGACTGAGCCGTTGTACATACTTTAAGCAACGTGGTCGCTATCAATGCAAAAGCGACAGTAACTACATATCTCTCACAATATTTTTTTATTAAACACTTTAGCTGTGTTAATATTACTAAGATCGGGTCAAAGTTAATCAATTTTATCAATTCTACTTTGATATAAATTACTAAATGGTACTAAAACTCTAAGAGCTTAACACTATGGTGTCCTATTATTTTATCTGACAAATATGCTAGTTACAGCTAGCACATAAATAGTACTATGCTCTGCTTTTAGAATTCTTCTACTCAAGTTCCATCTTTTATCAAAGATCGGAAATCATCATGGCTATGCGGACTATCTGGCCTGCCACTCTAAATTGTTCTACACTACTGCATTCTACTTTTCCACTATAACAGTTTACACTAACTCAAATGTTTTTTTTTTTCGTTTAATTTGACAATTTTTGATTAGATATTTTAACGTTGACAACGCCTATGAATAGCTGTTCTGATTTGTCTTTTGTTCTTGATTTGTTCTTGATTGTCTTTTTCATTTTATTCGGATCTACTCTGTATGAGTACAAGGAACCAATTCGCTAAGAATTTCTGCTTAGTTGAGGAGACATGTCGTGGAATGCAAATTTTAGATTACCCATATCTCTATTAACATTTTTATCAACGTCTGTTTTGCCTCGCAATTTTTAGAAGGCTCAGATTAATGCAGAAATCTGAATTGGTTTCGAAACTATTTTACGGACTGTTTAAGAATTTATTCGTTAAGAATAAAAAGTTTATAATACGGGAGTAAAGCGTTTTACTGAATCTTTATAACAGTTACCACAATATTGAATAATGGAGAATACATTTTCAGTAAAAGTAACAACATGTCATCTTTTACTTTACTAGCACGCAATATTTTTATTTTATCCAGGCCTACCATAACACTACACAAAGCATAGGTTAGTGACCTTAACATTGTTTTTGGTAGCATTTTAAAAATTGTAAATCACACTTTTGAAAAAAATAATAAGTACTTAATCGTGTCCTCCACAAATATATTTCTTTAAGACTTTAAGACTTCGGTGTTTTTTAGTTGATTTAATTTATGTAACATTTTAGGTAACTTTCTTGGCTGTTTTGGAGGTTTAACTATGCTTATGTGGAAAACAGTAATGTCTTATATGCTCAGACCTGAAGAAATGGGAAATATATTGGCTCTCATGAGTATACTACAGAGCTTAATTTCATTGCTCTCTGGTCTGGTCTATCCAGCAATATACAATGCTACGATAAATACAAACAGTGGCTTATATAATTATCTGTCATTGGGTATTAATATTATTGTTGGTATATCAATATTGTAAGTATACTCATTTATTGTTTTACTCATTATTACAAAAGTTTGTAAATATTATTAAAATTTAATTTAAAAAGAAAATTGATCAGATCAAAAGTGATATTCCTAAGTCGTCTAAAAATCAGAAGCAATATAGAAAGGTGATTAAAAGAATTTTTAATATACATTGTGAAATAATTGTGGAGCAACATACAAACTGAAATAAAATGCAGTCTAGTATTTGGCAGTCATAATTAAATTAATAGCCTGCTACGCTAGCAGCGGTATCTATACGAAGTAACAAGAAGTCGGAAGACCTCTTTGCGATAGCGAATTAGGAGAACCGCATATTCAAAGTCTCTTACTGAAGGCTGTTGAACGACGTTAGAAATAAACTTTTACTCGGACATGTAGATTCATGTCAGAGTAAAAGGTTATTTTCACGCAGTAATAAGCTTTTTAGATCCCACAATCGGCAGAAATCCAGAAAATTGCGTTAATAGTTAACATATCACATATAAGTGGTTTTTTCCGGCTGAAGGACTTTTGTAGAGGAAGTCTGGTTTTTATGGCGGTATCAGCTGTTTATTTAGATAATATTAGTAATTCATCTTATAGATGAATTCTTCATGACATATGTCACCTTTCATCTTTATGACTTTGTCATAAGCCATATTTTCATCTAGAAATACTGCGCATATTCAGATATAGATGTCACGCTTTGCAGAAAGCTCTAATATGACAAATTTGGAACACTATAAAAAGGAATAGAACGACAAAGAATACAAAGTGAAATGAAGAAAATATTTATTTACTAACATTGAAAAGATTAGCACATACACGTTATACAAGTGTAGGCGATAATAGGAATTTTGGAGAGGGGTTTCTGGTACATGAAGACGTGGAGCAGGTAAAACCATTCGTAGCAAAATCTGAAAGAACGTGTGCAATTAGAATTAAAGGAAAAGAGAACATGATCTTGCTGATACATGCTCCAACAGACGAAAAAGGAGAAGAAGTAAAAGATGAATTTTATGAAAAATTAAAATCATTGTCTGAAGAAATGCCTAGACAAAATATGAAAATTATTATAGGTGACGCCAATGCAAAGGTCGAAAAAGAAGATATAATATATATAAAAACATGACAAGGGGTAAAAGTAACCATATGAATGCAAATGATAATGACCAAAGATTGGTTACAACAGGAACATTGGAAAACAGGAAGAAAATAATAAGTACGCATTTCATGAGAAAAAATGTATATAAGAGAACATGGAAAATTCCGAAGTCAATTAAAACTAATCAAATAGACCACATCTTAATGCAAGAAAAATTCGCCAATTTAATGATAAATGTGAAAACGTGAAGAAGGGCTGACATAGACTCAGATCATTTTTTGGTTAGAATTAATATGAGAGAAGCAATAATTAAAAAGCATCAACTGAAAAAGAAAGTGCAACGTAAATTAAATTTGCGAAAATTTGCGATTAAAAAACTGCGAAAATTTGAGGTAGTGCGGGATCATCAAAAGGATAAACAAGAAACCTACGCCAAACAAGATAGTACCACTGCAAGTAACATACAATAAAATTTCTTGAAAATGACATACACGAAAAAGGGAGCAATGACGAAGAATATAACAAGAAAAAACATATTTATAAAAAACCACTGGTTCGATGACGAATGTAAAACACAGTTAAAAAAATCAGATTTGAGATTAAAAAGTTTACGATCGCATAAACAAGACGACCTAGAAAGATATGCCGAACAACGAAAAAAAGTAAAGAAAATCCTAAGGAAGCGAAAACGAAAGTATATGGATGATAAAATAAAGTGTATTAAAGAAAACTACAAAAAAATAAAAAAAATTTACATAGAGTAAAATACATAAAAACTGGGTATTAGAAAAGAACGATGAATGTAAAAGATAAGCAAGGAAATCTGATAGTGGACGAAGACCAAATATGTGAAAGGTAAAAAGAATATTTCGTCGGTCAGATAGCTCAGCGGGCTGTGCGGCTGCCTCTCATTCGCTTCACTGTCGAATGGTTTAGTGGATGTGGGTCGAGCCCACGCTCGGTGTACAGAAAACAAATAGTCTAACGCAGCAGTTTAAAATTCTAGATGAATCTGCGGCTTAGACTAGGATATGATGGGTTCTGATCGGCCTATGGTGGAGCAGTACGGCAAGAGATAAGGGCTTGCGGCTCGGTGATACTCCTCCATAGATCCCTACCGGACGGGCGTAACGCCTAAAAAACCGGATATATATATATATATATATATATATATATATATATATATATATATATATATAGAATAGAATATTTCGAAGATATGCTAAATGACGGAATGACTAATAAAGAAAATTATAATATTTATAATAATATTTATATATATATATATATATATATATATATAATATATATATATAATATATAATATATATATATATATAATATATATATATATATATATATATATAATATATATATATATATATATATATATATATATATATATATGTATATATATATATATATATATATATATATAATATATATAAGAAATACCAAAGCCCACAAGAGAAGAAATTGAAGAAATAATGAAAAATTCCAAAAAGCCCGGAGAGAGCAGCATTGTGGCAGAGAACTTAAAATATGAAGAAGAGGCTTTAATGAACATAGTGAGCTAATACTAGCAGTGTGTGATGCCGAAGAAATGCCTCAAGAATGAAATAAATCGATTTTAATTCCTATACATAAAAAGGGAGATAGAATTGAATGCGCTAACTATAGAGGAATATCCTTATGAGAGGCAATATATAAAGTTCTCGCCATATAAATATAGACAAGAAACTAGGAGCATACCAGGGAGTTTTTCGGAAAAAAAGGTAAACAACCGATCAAATTTTTATGCTTAAATAAATTTTGATCAATTGCTATAAATACAACATTTCAGCACAAGTACTTTTCATTGATTACAAAGCCGCCTACGATACAATAGACAGAAACAAATTGATAGAAACTCCAGAGTGCCAGAAAAAATAGTAACAATGGTACAAATGACAATTAGACAAACCATTTGTTCTGTGAAATGCAAGGGCACAGTCTTAGAAAAATTTAAAGTAAAAAAAGGTGTTCGCCAAGAAGACCCGTTGTCTACATTGGTATTAAATATAGTTCTAGAAAAAATGTTAAGTCCGGCACTGTTTTCTATAATGCGTACCAATGCAAAGCATACGCTGGTGATGTGGTTCTCATTGCCAGAAATGAAAAAGAACTGGCAAATATAGTAAAAGTACTGATTCAGTCACGGAATCCTTTAAATTGGAGGTGGAGAAAGGATCAGTTGTAGAATTCGAGAAGGATGAATGAAGATACTCTTATTGATCAGACATGTAAAGAAGTAACTGAAATCAAGATATAGATATAGAACAGATTGGACGCATAGGAAAGAAAGATACTTCTTAGAATGTTTGCGGGAAACGTAGTAGAAGGAGAATGGAGAAGGCAAACTAATGCAGAAGTGTATCATTTGTATGCGAACCATGCAATAACGAAAGTAGTAAACATATAAAAAAAGTAAGGTAATGGATTAGTCACGAATATTGCTTGAAGAGTACCGAAAAGCAAAAAAAGAGAATAAGACAAAGAAAGAAATGTAGAGATGTAGTGATGGAACTTGTCAGAGAAATGGAAATCAGAGATTGGAAGCTGATAGCTAAGAACAGAAAACGATGGAAATGATCCATCCAGTTATGGGCTTAAAAGCCTGTTAACGCTGTACATATATACCATTGAACAAAAAGAAGATAGCAGAAAAACTCCGCAAATCTAAATACAATAATATAAAAATTAATTTTCGCATTCACCTATTTTAAATTTGTTACAATTTCCAACATTTACAATAAGTTTTAACAATAAAAATTAAAATTTTAAAACTATTTAAATAAAAAAGAAAAACAAAACAAGAGTAAAGACAACTGTGCTATACTTTTAATACAGTAAGCATTTGATAATTTGTTGTCGATACTTTAAATTTGTGAATAAGTTGCCCTAACTGAACAATATTGCTTCACTTTACGGTATATGTTATCCGAGCAAAAAATGACATTGTTCTTCTTCTTTTTGTGCCACTTCTATCGGAGATTGAAAATCATCAAGGCTATTCTGACCTTGTTTACGGCTGACCTAAAGCGTTCATTAGTAGTGCAGCCAAACCACTCTCTCAAATTCCGCAACCATGACATTCTTCTTCGGCCTGGATTCCGTTTTCCTTCTATTTTTCCCTGCATTATATTTTGAAGTAATGCGTATTTATGTCCTCTCATCAGGTGACCAAAATATTCGAGTTTTCTTCGCTTTAGCGTTAACAAAATCTCTGGGTCTTTTCCTATTCTTCGTATTACTACACAGTTTGTTATTCTTTCAACCCAACTAATCTTCAGCATTCGACGGTAGCACCACATCTCGAAACTTTCAATATTTTTCATGTTGTTCTGTTTGAGAATCCAGGCCTCTACAGCGTATAATAGCGTGTTAAATACATAGCCTCTCAGCATTCTTAATCGTAAAGGGATACTTATATTTCTGTTGCAGAAGAATTTTCTCATCTTTATGAAGGTGGCCCTGGCAATTTCGATACGTCTTCTTATTTCACTGTTTTGGTCTCCAGTTTCGTTTATTAAAGTTCCCAAGAATTTGTTACTTGATACTTTTTCAACTCAACTCATTTCAACTTGAGTGCCGTTTATACTAATATACGCTGGTTGTGTCATGTTTTAACTGAAGACCATATACTTGGTTTTTTTAATATTGATATATATACCATAATTGTTGCAAGCAATATTTATGTCTGTAAGTAATCTTTCTAATTATTCTACTGTTCTTGCAACTAGTACAGTGTCGTCCGCGTATCGAATATTATTTACAATCTCTCCATTAATTACGATTCCTTCGTTTGCTTGTAAAAGGGCTTCCTGACAGATGCTTTCACTATATACATTAAATAACAGAGGTGACAAAATGCAACCCTGTCGTACTCCTCTACGTATTTTTATTGCTTGTGATGTTTCAGTTTCTATTTTGATTTTTTTTTGACATTGTTATGACATTGTTACTTACTAGTAATTAAATTACTGACTGGTAGATTTTCCTCTAAAGTCCTCATGTTTATAGACAAGATAGTAAAAATTTGATTTCACGTACAGTGCTTCTACAATTTGCTTATACTTATTTCGTCCTTGCATCAGAGTGTTTCATTAATAGTAAATCTAATCGTTTCCACCAAAGGAAGTAATAATGAAATAACTTTCTTAAGACGCATACAACGACATCTAAAAATAAATCAGAAAGTAAATATCCGAAGATTTCTACTGTTTGTCCTAAACCAAAAGTTTTGCTTTTAAAAACCAGTTTTACTTTTTGTTTTCTAATGCTTAGTTGTTACTATAAATATGAACTATTTTGTATTTAAATTTACTCAGTCTGTTCTAAAAATATTTTTGATATATTTCAGAATTCTTTCGAGAGTAGATATACCACACTATCAACCAGATCCAATTCCACCATCTGCAGATCAAGAAAGTGCGAATGATGAAAAAATTAGTAAAATGGCAGATACTACAGTAGAAATTTTAAATGAAACTCAAGATGACCAACGGTTTTAAACCTTAGAAGTAATAATAATCACGGTTTTCTGAAATAACTTTGCTGGTGGTTTTAGTATTTAGGTGCTGGTGTTTAGTATTCACATCTTCGAAGTGTCTACTCATTCAGTTATTTTTTGTTTGGAAACCAATGTTTGATCTTGTCTTGATCTTTAGTAGATATAGCTTTTCTTTTTAGGCGATATCTTTCCTAACAGTTGTATTTAATATATTTTAAACAGTGTAAAGCCATAAACAATACTAATTTATTATATGTATAGTAATTTAAACATGACTGAGTGTCATGTATTGTGATGTATTTTATATTAAAACTAGGTTATTATATCTGTAAAATGTAATATATTTTTTTTATTAAATATGTATTAGTAATATGTAGCAATCCATTTAAACTCTTCCTTTTACGAGAGAATCAGAAGATATCTATTTCTCCATAATATCCAAACTTTTTTGATCAGACAAATACAGTCATATATCCCTCTGAACATTTCCTGAAATATGTAATCTAACTCTTTCTAAATATTAATGAGCTTAAGACCCCATATGCAACAATTAATTATTCAATCCTTTTATTTATCTAAATAAAAAACTAAAAGTGTAGTGTAGGATCAGCAGTTACAGCTTCGAACATTATATTATCCGGAAGAAATTTGAGTTTAATATTAGTTTCTGTAATAGTATTAATCTTAGTTCTAGGTTTAATTTAATTTTTGTGTAGTATGAACTGTTCTCTTAGAAAGAACGCTTGAAGAGACCGTCCATTTTGCATGCCAGTTCGAGCTAATACAAATCAATGTTCAATAAAATTTGTATTAGCTCGACGGTAAAAATTCGATATCTTTTGTTTCAAGTGAACTATTGACATATATCAAGATGCGTTTTAAAGGAAAACAATTTAGCTTTGGTATTAAGTTTTCGTATGTTGCCGCAAATAGATTTTTTCCATTTTTTTTTATTCTGACGAGATCAATACAATCTATCACTTTTATTGAATGACCACTATGAAGTTTCGATTATAAGAGCCTAAACTTTAAAATCTGTGGCATGAAATTTTAGTTTTGAGTTTTGGCAACAAATGTAAGGCATTTGAAATGTGCTTTGAAAACGATGGATTAAAAACGATCTAAAATATTTAAAAGTTTTTTTTTCGATTACACTAGTACGTTTTTCAAAAGAACAACACTTCTGCAATAAACCTAACCCAAAACAGTCTTCCTAAATGTATTTTTCGTGACGTGTGATCGTTTATAATGTAAAAAATTAAATTCTGCGTCTTTTATTCATATTTTAAATGCATCATATTTATTACCATAACTCAAAATGAACATTTCATGTCATAGATTTTAAAGATTAATATCTAAAAATAAAAATTGTTGTACAACTGATCGATAAAAGTATTTCATTTTATTGATCACACGAGAATCGTAAAAAATGGCAAAAATCGCGCCACGTTTATTTACTCGTATTTAACACCTTTATAAAAACCGAGTTTATTGTCGGAAAATTACAAAACTGCATACGAAAGCTGCTGTTTTTGCCTTAAAAGCACATCTTTAGTTTTGTTGATAGGACATTTGGATCAAAAGATATCGAATTTTTACGATGGAGCTGATACAAATTTTATGAAATATTTATTAAACATATTAAACATTAATTTCGCGTACGTAACTGGCATGCAAAATCGATGGTCACTTCAATCGTTGTTTCTGAGAGAATGGTTACTGCTACACAAAAAATTCTTAAACACATTTTTGTTTAGAATTATCTCGGCTACATTTTTTATTTAAAACATTATTTTCTACGGTGTAAAAATTTTTGATAAATCGATTTTTTGCGTTTTTGCCACCCTGTGAAAGAAGTTTTAGAATGAAGCTCGGTAGATGAGGTAAACTTTTTTGCCTCTTTTTGTGGTCTCGAAATTAATATTTTTTCATTCAACTTGTTCATATGATTTTTAGAGGTGAACTCTTTGACGACTGGACTAAGTTTAGAAAAAATATGTTTAATTTTAACCAGTAAAAACAATAGTTTTTATTTAAATAAAAACAATTAAATCAGGAGCTCAAATTGAGATCTCTTTACTTCTTGGCAATAAGTCAACGTTTGTGTGAATTCAGGCAGAATGATTTCAACAGTTTCTTTTTTAGTCTTACATAGAAGCAGTTACTAAATCAGTCATCTCTAAGTCTTTTTGGGCAGAAAGCACCACAAAAAATTTATAGCCAAACATGCTAATATATGCGCAAGACAATATACATGTAAGCACTAGCACTTTAACCAGAAAAGTAATTAAATATGGTAGGACTTTCGAAAAAAATGTTGTGTATGCACAAGAAATAAGGTTCGCAAAAATACTTTTTACAATTGTGTAGCATGCGCTAAGAGACCTGGTCCATGCCTAGGTAAATGTTTCATGCAGTTTTGCAAAATAAAAACTTATAGCAAATAAAGCATATTTCTTTTTTTTTACTATTTTGTAGTTTATTGTAGTCTATGGATAAACTTTAATTTTATTAAATATTAAGTATTATAAATATTGCATTCTCTGCATGGGTTTTGAAAATAATTTAAAATCATTGAACATTCAATGGTATAGTTCGAAACAAAAAATTATATGAACCAGTAATGTGACATTTTATACATTTGTCCGAGTAAGTATATAATATATTAATAATATAAAAACACCAACTAACTTTTAAAGTTTATTGATGAACTTTTATTGATGTCTACATAAAAAGCTGCTGCCATCTTTTGTAAGCCATTTGTGCTAGAAAATAAAGTTCTAGATTTCAACAGCAATTCATCGTTTTGTGTTCACATTTAAAGTATAGGTGGAAGACATAGTGTTAATGTGAATATATATACATATAAAGGTAATGGATTTTGACAAGAGCTATGACCTTGTAAATAATAGGTAAACTTGTGTACTGAATCGGCATGACTCATAGCTTTTGTTAAAATTCATTACCTCTATATTAATTATTTTTTTATGATTAACAATGTTTGTTGTGTCTGCTTTCTACGTATGAATAAAAATCTCTAATAAGAAAGAGTTGACGTTTTCATAATGTTATTTTATATGTATATAAATTGCGAGGATATAGCTTAATATTAAGTAAACAATAATAAAACAATTACACAACTGTAGAAATCAATTAAGTCACTTCATCTACATAATAAAATAACAATAGTTTTTTTTTTATTCAAGGAAATAAATAATTAAATAAATTAAATTGATTCTATTTGTTTCTATTTTATTATTCTATTTTATTACCCCATGATTCGAAACCAAAAAATCACTTAAAAAATCAAAAAAATTCTAGGCGTTATTTTTAACTAGAATAACTGGAGGGAAAGTCAATAGAGAAAGTGTACTTACTACCTCATGGTTATCGAAACTTTTACTGTATGATGACATTCAAGCAAAAAGGCGACTTCTTTCATTAATTTCAATATTGTGAAAAAACTACACATTCTAGATAAAAACGTTCAACAGACAACTTTATTGAAAATACTTGCTCTTTAAAATGAGGTTTACTAAATTAAAAAAAAATGTTTATAATCAAAAAAGTTATTGTAAATCAAACCTAAAATTAAGCATGTATTTCAATAAACAATAAAAATATAGAGAAGACCGGCCCTGGCAAGGTATGGTTAAGTTGTACTGATATTGTACTCCTAGTTTTTAATAAAAACAAGTGGTTTTATTAAATAGTTTTTTAAAATTAAAGTGTTTACCTACTAGATACTACTACGTAAGTTATCTATACGTAATTATTATTTTATTAGTGTGAAAAGAAAACGTCAATAATAAATATATATTACCGTACAATCATTTTGTGAGGTTAGCTGTTATAAGTACCTTATAGTAGCATGCGGTTAGTTTTTCACTTACCAGAGTCGGAGTAAGGCCTTCGCCGCCACAGCTTAAAATGACTTCACAGAATGTAAACACACCTTCCGATCTAACCAGTCCAGTAAATCAACGTTCGAATATCACAAACAGTTATGCATCAGCCGCTTCACACTCTTTTGCGAGTAAGACCCAAGCAATTGTATTTAGTTTCATCGATAATGCTAAACTGCAGGATTATCTCATTCCTTTGGACACAATCAACAACTCAAAAAATATTATTTTTTCATCTAGATTATCTCATAATAGAATCTGCATGTATTTGGCAAACGAAACCTTAGTAGATAACTTCATGACACAACATGGCTATAGAAGTACTCGGCAAAGTTGTAACAGAAGACTTGTCCCTCCAGCAGAAAGACTAGTCTGGTCTGAAGTCTGCCCTTCAATTCCTCATCAAGTATTAGTTAAAGAATTACAGAATATCGGTTTAAAGCTTATTTCCCCAATATCATTTCTGAAAATTAGCTCGACTCTCCAAATATAGTCACATATTGAGCCGAGTTTATATAAGCCCCATAACGTCACCAATTCTAGATTCTATTCTAATAAATTTCGATCAAACACCTTACCGCATATTTTTGTCACAAGGTACACTTACCTGCTTTATTTGCAAAAATACAGGACACATGTCATCCCAATGCAATAACAGTTCAGTAACGGAATCAAATCATATTGAGTCAAACAATAAAGTACCAAATCAAACAGCTTCAACAAGTATACTACACAAGGTACCAAACACCCAGCAGTCATCAAGTTATCCATTATCAAATCCGAGCATATCACCTTCACCTACAAATCTCCATGACAAAGAAATTACTAACGCTCCTACCCATAGCAACACTTTCAATCAACCTCATTCAGTGGCAATACCGTTTTCACAAACTTCGGAAGGAATATCCTCCAGTCTATCAGCTCATTTTTCATTAGATACAACTGCAGAAAATTCTAATAAAACTGATACATCAAGACAATTTTTTGAAATAACTATTTCAACCAATCTTACAAATAAAACTTTAAGCTCGAGTTCTGTTACTACCAATGAGTTTGCTCCAGTACTTACAAATGTAATAAAGCCACAGCATCTAAGTGAAAACTCTAATAGCAATTACGAAAACGCAAGTTCTTCCATAAAACGCAGTATTGGTGAGATCGTCAAGCCTCCTTCAGACCCATTCGTTTTAAATTACCACCAATTGCCCTTACTGATTGATAATGTCCAAGGCTCCTCTGACACTATTAGCGTCGTCAAAGAATTTACAACTGACATGGATGGTTTACTCCATCTTTTACAAAGCAGCTATCAATATGCAAGTGA